TGTTTTTATTTTATCATTTAAAATATTACCCCAGCAATTTGCTCTCAAATAATTCCAAGATTGGTTCTTTGAATTTAAATCCCCATGAACTAAGTACCTGTCATTTATTTTTGGTATTACAGAAAGATCAGCTTTAAATATGTTTTTTATATGTCTTCTGTCCGTATTTAAAAAATTAATACTTCTCAAATATTTCACACTACCAGAAAAGTACACAGAATATAGCTTAACCGATTCACTGTCTGACAAGAATACCAATATTTTCAAACAATTTAGTTTTAAGTCTAGGTATAAGTTTATGTTTTATATTTTTTGCAATAATTAACACAACACCACCACCACTGCAACTAATACGATCAGAGCGATAAATTTTATATGAAGAATTGTAAAACTTTTTGTTATTGTCAAGCCATGTTTCACATACTAAACCAATGCCAATATTATTTGAACTCATAAAATGAAAAAATTCATCTGTTTTATTTGATATGGAATGAGCATTTCAGGTAATAATATTCATTATTTTGAATAGATATATTTAACAACTAATTCAGTTATTACCATAAGCTGTTGATGCTTATTATTACATACACTTAACTTAGAAAGTAAATCATTTGTCAGGTCAATAATTTCATTTACTGAAAAGAGATTATTTACATTATTATTATTATACATATTTACCACTGATAACATTGTTGTTGCTATTGCTACTATTATTTGTGTTGTTCAGAACATTATTATTGATATCATTGCTGCTTTGGTTTGGAAAGAATATTATTCCATGGTATTTGCGTATTTTGTTGTTGTATCTGCGAGTTCATATTATTTACATTCAAACTATTTGGGAAGTTTATATTGTAGTTACTATTCAGTAGAACACCGGAACGTGGTCTATTGCGTATCGATTTTTTTCTTTTACGGGTAGTGACATCAATATACGTATTTCTAGTTGGACAATTTGTATCCGTGGAATAGTGATTGCCTTTGCAATTGGCGCATAATTTAATTTCGCTTTTACAATCTGTTGCTTGATGATTACTAGCGCATAAGGGACAAAATGTTTTCACATGACAATTTTTGGATAACATTGAGTGTTTTTATCATTTGTGTTAGTTTTTCGTTCCCACCTAACTTTTATGTGGTTTATATAACAAAATTTAGTTTTCAAATCATTTAAATTAATTGAATTATTTTTGAAATAAACAATATACAAAATTAAGTTATTATCAAATTTAGTTTTTTTTTTTCTACAAGTTTAATTTCTAAGCAATTTAAACCATAATTTATTAATGTATTTTTTAACTCATCACAACTAATTCTTTCTAGACCAGAAAGTACAGCTTTAAAAGGTCTTGTTTTGTTTGAATCGAAAGAAAAAAATTCACAGTTTTTATCATGGAGTATTTTACAAACAGTTTCATAGCATTCTTGAGATTTACAAAATATTTTAATTCCAATCACAGTTGTTTTAACAAAATAGTCAGCAATTTTATTTTCTAACATTATGTCATGCACAAAATTTGCTTTTTGTTTTAATATAGTAGTTGGTGGAATCTTCATTTTATTATTATTTTCTGGAACCTTGTGTTCAGTTTCAATAACGTCATCACAATCACGTGTTTGCAATACACCCCAATAATTATTATTGTTATTAGTAATATTCTGATTTACAGGCGGTAAAGCTTTAATTTTTTTTTTTTTTTTGGATTCTTAGCCATAATCACATTATCGGACGGATTTTCGTCCGTCTTTTCAATATCACTATGAATTCTTTTTCGTAAATTCTCAATTTCAGTAAAATTTTTTTTTTTATTTTTAACTCTCGAACAAAATCGCTCTTAAATTATATATTTAATTCAATATACTTAATATGAACTGCTTTGTTCGATATCTAGAGTGAGAATGAAGTGACACTAGAAATAAAGATTTATTTTCGTATAAAATATAAATTTTATATCTTATAGAACGTAAAAGTTTTAAAATTACTTATTAAAGGCCGAACGAAAGTAAAAAGCATATTTTTTGGAATGGCCAGAACTTAACAAACAAATATTATTTTCTCTGAAAATACATAAGCCGCCAATTTAAAAAAGTATTAGGATAATTTAAAAAAACTAGGGGCCCCTGTGGTTTGCTTATAAGCAGCATTATCTGTTGTAAAAACAGGATTGTGGCAATCAATTTTAAAATAAGTTTAGAAAAATTTGTAAATGTTATGGCATACATATGCAGGTATATACTTGTATATGCATAAATATCATATTGGTTTGAATACTAATGATAAATAAAAGTAATGGAAATATTTTTAATTTAATAAATTTTAAGATGTAATATGTGTCACTGTTAATTACATATATATTAAAATTCAATTTAAGAATTAGTTAACAATTAAGAACGAAAAATTTCCTTCTAAACAACGTTATCTAGATAAGTACGTAACGTAACATTATTCGTGTTCTAATATCTCTCACAATTGTTAGTTTTATTTTTTTTAATTCCATTCCATATTAAATACAACAACAAAAGATTATTTTACTCTTTCTTAACTCATTTAAAATATTTCGCTTCCTTTTGCTTTTTATTTTTGTTTATGGTGGTAGTAAAGCAAAAAAACAAAAAAAATATTACTACTCTTTTTTTATTCTCTTTCGCTTTTCGCTTTTCATTTTTTGTTTTTGTTTTACAGTATGTATAATCAATTGAGTAATGTATCTACCCAGTATTCTCTTTTGCTATTTTCATTTTTTTGTTTTTGTTATTTATTAGATTATATGTATACCTGTTCATGAACTGGAAAAATCTTGTAAAATATAATATAGATATTTTTCTCCAAAAATTGAACTTCCGGTAAAAAAAGCCCGTGGCTGTTCTGATTTCATTGTACTTGAACTTAGGTTTTATTTTAGTTTTAAATTTCAGTTATGTTGCAACATTTTGTCTTTTGCTTCGTAAGAGTCTAATTAAAATACGACAAATTTATTTGCCAAGAACTTCTAAATAAATTTATTTTTGAGAAAAGTTTTCCACTAATGTTGTTATTTGAAAATTTAAATACAAGTTTGTGTAATGTTGTAAGCTTATATACGTAGCTGCAGAAGTATCATAACATAGTCAAATTTTATAGATCCAATCTCGTCAAAATCGAGCTTCTGTATCGTGTATTTCACATATACTGTATTTGTATTAAATATTATCATCCTTAGCTTTCACATTATAGAAAAATCAGTTTTGAAACTGCCTTACAACAGCCGTTAAAGTATATTGTGTTCACGCTATACTACATGTACCGCCAATTAATTCAAAAAAGTTTGCACAGCCACAACCAAATTTTATCTGAATAGAAATGGATTCAAAATTAATAACAGGAATAGAAATTATCAAAATTAATTCTTTTTAATGGGGTTTTTTGTCTACCCATTTTCCGTAAAAAATTGTACTTTGGGAGCTTAACAATTCATTATATTTTAGTAAAATAAGTCAAAATTTAGAATAAGACTACTAGAACAGGTTCCTTAAGAGAATGTTATAATATTGAAAAAAAATTTGAAGCAAAAACAAAATTACTGTTTGTTAATGAAAGTTGAAATAAGCACAAACAGTATGAAATTTGTATTGAACTATTTTGAATTGTATTTTACATATAGCGAACGTTTTTAATTTTGTATTTTTTTTTTGTAAAAATTAATTGAAGAGTCTGATAATGTTTGAAATTTTATTATAACTATTACAACTATTAGCATTACTACTACTGACTTGTACAAATTTAGAATATTAAAAAAAAACCATTCGTTGTAGGTTGATCATGGAGTAAAGACGTTCTTTGTGATCAATGATTTAAAAAAATTTTTTTGGTGTAAATAAATTTGTTAAAAATATTGTTGGTGACTTGAAAACATTATAATATTAGTGTGATTTTATAATAACAATTAATCAAAAATTTTTTTTTTTTCAATGGTTGATAATTTTTCCGAAATATAATTTTTTTTTTTTTTTTTTTATTGGTGTGAAAAGAAAACTTCCTTTTATTCGGAATAAAATACTTTTATTTTTCGCTAATATATTTCGTGCGCTACATACGCACTTTATCAAAGCTGATTTTCTTCTCAAGAAGAAAATCAGCTTTGATAAAGTGCGTATGTAGCGCACGAAATATATTAGCGAAAAATAAAAGTATTTTATTCCGAATAAAAGGAAGTTTTCTTTTCACACCAATAAAAAAATAAAAAAAAAAAAAAAAAAAAAAAAATAACAATTAACTTACTTCTTGGGTTAAAACATTATAATTTAAAGTAGTGATATAATTTTTTGTATTAAAGTTAACTATTATGATTTTTTGTATTAAAGTTATATATGATAAACAGTGGTTATAGTGTTGCTATGGCAACATTATAATTTTTAATAATTTTATTTGAATTTATCGTTGAAGATTATAGCTTACTGTGATTCAATTTTTAAACAATAATTTTAAAATATTAATAAAAAAATAAAAATTCTCCCTTGTATAGAAAATAAAAATTCGATTTAAGCATAATATATTTTTAATTTATTTAATCTACAATTAATTTAACAACTAAGTGTTTAATAAATTAAAAGTACTCCTGAGTAACATTCGCAATGGCGGGCCCTGAAATGGGCACTTCGAATAATTTCTTCAGGCCTGTGGCTGCTCTGGATTATTCCCAAAACTCGCCGAGTAAACTTTAGAAAAGGAAATCGTCGGGAATAATTAATTTTGAAAAAGAATTTCCTGTGTTAGGCTCGAGTGAGATTAGTTTAAAAAAATTATGTCAGAAAAGATTCGCAACAATGAAGTCAATTGATTCTGAGAAACCGATGCGTTCATTCAATTTTTATTGTTTCAAAACTCATTATTGGTATTAGCTCCCAGACTAAGCCGAATTTTAATTAGGACGGGAACATAATCATAGAAGTACCAAATAAAGCTACGTAATATTGGTGTTGCTGTGGAGCCCAATAACAATTTAAATCAATCGAAAGGGAGCTTTTATTCTAGAGATCTTTTAAGTTTGACTGACAACGAAATCTTGGAAGGCCATAAGGAAAAAACCAAAGACGTTATCAGCATTTATAGGTATAAAAATAATTTTTTTTTATGGTATTACCAAAGAAAATTACTCTGAACTAGTGCAAATCACCTTTGATACCACGGACCCTCCTAAAGAGGTAAAAGTAGGTTTTTTGACAATTAATGTTAGAAAATTCTACCCCACCCAACTGAAATGCAAGTTGTCCCACAGGATTGGACACAAGTTTAAATTTTTCAAGACAACCACTCCTCGCTGCAGTAGATGTTCTAAAGATATAAAAGGTACACCTGAAGAACATGCTACAGAGTGCGAGTCCTTTAAATGTATAAATTGCATTAGTTCATACTTCGATTATGGGCACTCAGCATATTCAAAAGAATGTTCTTCATTTATTAAAGAAAAGAATATATTTAATTAATCACAGATAATATAATAATACGCAAAGATCAAGAAATATAATGAATTTAACAAATTTTCGCAACTTAAAACTCCATTAAAACTCACTCCTTCTGTTAATAACTCTTCACTTCCCGAATTAGTAAACAATAGTAAAGAAACGATTACATCAATTAAATCTAAAAAATTAAATAACTCCACTGAAACAAATAAAGCTATAAATTCCTCACGTAATGTAAATATAGATATAATAAGTACTTTTGATAAGCAAGTTGCTCTTAAAAAAGCACAGACTGGGAAAAAATAAGGCCTTTTTTTCTTTACCTAAATCACATGCTGTTAATTCTTCTGCTTCAAATTTTAAAATCATAATTCATAAATCATAAATTTTCTTCAAAAAATATTTTAAATTCAGCTAGCGATCATTTTTCTTCGGGAAACTCAGATATTGAAGATAATTTAATTAAAAGAAAATTTATTAAAAAACATCAAAATAGGAACATTATTCAAAATCAGAATAAAAATAACTTTTGCATTAATAACAAAATATTAATTAACATTATTTCAACTATAACAAGTAATTCTTATGTTTAATAGAAGTATGGTAAATTTTACGCATAATACAAAAAAGTCTCTCGGTTTTTCTACTAAAATTATGCAATGGAATATACAATGATTTCAAACTAATAAACATTATTTGGATCTCATTATTGATAAATATAGGCCTCTCATCTTGGGTCTTCAAAAAACCCATTTAAAGGAATCCAATATGCCTTGCAAATATCGAAATTATGATTGTTATTTTAAAAATTCTATTCATTCCTCTGGAGGCGTTTGTTTTTAATAGATACTGCCCAAGATTTCAATAAAATTAATTTGGGTGTTGGAGCGGTAGCAATAGGTGTTAAGGTTGTATTGCCAGGCGTTTCCAACAGAACCTCAATTATTAATACATATATTCGGCCGAAAAATGCTTTTAATAAGCAAGTCTTACAAAGAATTTATGAAAGGGCCCCTGTACCTGGTCCCTTTTTTGGTGCTTTTAACTGCAGAAATGAACTATGCGGAAATCGAATATGTAACAGGAGAAGAAAAATAGTGGAAAAATGGGTTGAAGATCATGACGAAAAATTTATTCTTAACAATGACTCACCAACTTTTCTTTCAAATATGGGATGCTATAGCACAATAGATTTACCTTTTGCGCACAAAGATATAGCCGATAAACTTCGCTGCAGTTTGACTGATAACGTAAAGGATTATGTTCATATTTTTATAATATTAGTCAAACGATAGAAAGAAGTGAAATATTATTTTATTCTTTATTTTTTTTTTATTTTATTAGTTCTGAAATCAAATAAAGTTTTTATTCACAGTTTATTTACGCGCTTAGTTTTTCTAGAGTAACTAATTCGAAATGTGTGAAGTATAAAAATTACTTAAACACAAAACGCTACAAACAATACTATATTTGATTTAAATAATGTGATTTCACTTTTTGTTTAAATAAACTAATTTTTTTGATCGCTTTTAATTCGTTTGGTAATTTATTATAAATTTTATACGCTGTGTCATATATCGCATCACATCTGCAAAACCTAACCTTGGAGGAAGTTATTCTTATGTTACTGGCAATTCTTGTGTTGTAGGAGTGTATATTTTTGTTTAATATTGGTTCACTATTTGTATTGTTATTTGTTATGATCATATGTATCTGTGTTGCCATCTTAAATTCGAAGTACAAATTCAACGGTAGAATTTCATTTTCACTATGAATTACACTAGTAGCAGCTCTAAAATTAAAGCCAAATAAGTTCTTTATTGTCTTATTTTGGACTTTTTGCCCATGTTAAATTTTCATCTACCAAAACCCCTAAATACTTATAATATTTCACCATTTCTAATTGGCAACCGTTGTACCTTATTTCCAGATAATCTTCAGGCTTTCGTTTAAACATTGTTAGTTTTGTTTTATTTGCATTCAAAGTCAGCTTGTGCCTATCCGCCCATAATTTAATCATTTTAATGTCTTGCTGAATTATATTTTCTAGATGTACATTCGTTGATCCTGAATTAGGTCATCAGCATACATATGTGGACTAGCCACCAATTTTAAATTCAGCAGACTACTTATATACTTAGAAAACATCGTTGGTCCAAGTGAGCTACCATGAATTACTCCGAAATTATTTTTTTCGAGCTCAATTTGCATTTCTTGACATTCAGCGTTTAGTAATATTTTTGCCATTATATTTCTGTCAACCGTATCAAATGCCTTTTTAACGTCGAAAAAAACAGCAGCTACCTTATTATTTTTATCCAACCTAGTTTGAACCTTAGATATTACATCAAATAATGCAGCTTCAGTGCTAAACTGTCTTTTGAAACCATACTGTTGTTTATTAAGAAGGTTTGTACTTTCTAAATATTCAATTAGTTGTTTATTAACAATAGTTTCAATAGACTTGTTAAACACTGGTGCAATTGAAATAGGTCGAAAATCTTCAGGGCTTTCGAAACTTCCTGTATTCTTAGCTATTGGAACTATTTTGCACGCTTTTAGACACTTGGGCATTTGAGCTTGACAAAGTGATTTGTTTATCAACTGAGTTAAGTTATCTACTATTTCAGTTTTACATTTCTTGATAATTGATGTCGGTATATTATTTGTCCACAAGCGTGTTTGCATATTAGTAATAAAATTGAGACATTGTTGACGACTGATGGTGTTAAAACTTAAATATTTCAGAAGTTGTACTACTTGGTATGTAATAATGTTCAAAATTTTTTGATAAATTTTCGGCTCCTTTTGCATAGAATCTGTTAAATTCGTTTAATTTATTGTATTTCGTATGATTTTCTAGCATTTCATTTCCGAAGAATTCATTTTTTTTATTTTGAAATCCAATAAGCTCTTGTATGTACAGCCAATTTTTTTATTGATTGATTTATGTCATATAAATCACTGATTGATTTATATATTATACGAATTGATTTATATCATATGTTGAAATTTTGACATTTACCAAATCTTGTTTAATTTTATTGTAAAGAAATTGTTTTTGCATCAGCTGTTCATTTGCAAGATTATTATTATTTATATTTATATCCAATAATTCTACTAAAATTCCATAATGATCAGATAAGTCAAGATCAAATATAGAAATATCAATTTCGACTGACGCATTTTTGATTAAGACAAGGTCAAGGCATGTTCCAGCTGTTGGAAAATGCCTTGACCTTGTCTTCACCAAATCTTGTAATCGCATTATGGCAAATAGAATATCCTTTTGATTCCACTATACCTTTGTAGATAAGAACATTTCTATCTTCCATATCATTGATATCGAAATTCATATCACCAATTTTTATACTATTTATATTTTTTCGATTTTCTAGGTGTGTTTAAAACTTATCGAAAAATTTATTGACATGGACTAATAGATTTTTTGGTGGTCGGCAATTAGTTTCTTTTTCTTCATCTCCATTGTCTTCTTATAAAGGTATTTAAAATATGAAGTTAAACTTTCATTAAAAAAGACATTGAATATGTTATTAGCATTCTTGGTTTCATTATTAAATATTTTTGTGGTTACAGTCTTATTCTTCATATGCATTAGGATGTTGCTTTTCGTTTCCAGATTATGTAGTTTCAATATAACTTTATCAGACTCACCTGACCGTATTGATTTATTTTTTAGGACGTACACATCCTTGATTTGATTTTCATCTACTATCAAATCTACATGTTGTACCAATTTAGCTATCGCAACTTTAGGGTTTTGCCTAACTTCATTTGGAACACCACTTATTTTGATTAGTAAATTTCTTCTGTTTCATAATCTCCAGATCTACTCGGGTCTTCTGGAACTCATGTCTTAGGTGCTTATTTTCATAGCGCAAAGTTTCGTTTTCATTTAACAGGGAATCTATTTACTGTTTAATATTCCTAATATCATTTTGAAGGCTCTAAAAAATTACCAAAAACTAAACGTAGATTTATAATGAAAAAACCTAAGTAGAGTAAAATTCGGCTTAGAAATAACAAAAGAATTTGGAGGGAAATTACAGTCCAAAAATATTAATACTAAAGTTTCAAATTTAACAAAAGTCATTAGGACAGCAGCTAATAAGTCAATTCTGCTTACAGGAAATAAAAATACTTTGAACAACCCCTTTTGGTATAACGACTGTATTAGGGCCTTAAAAAACTAAAATGATCAAGCGTATAGGGCATTCAGTAGAAATCCGTGGTGAACTACTTTAATAAATCTAACAGGCCATAAAAACGAAATGGGAAGAATTTGCCAATAGTATAATAAACTGCAATCTTTCTAGCCCTTGGAAAAAGTCCAAGAATTTTTTAAAAAGTGAAAAATCTTCTAGTAAAATCCATATTGAGGTAAATCGAGAAATTCTCACTGACTCGACAAAGATAGCAAGTGTTTTTGGAGATTATATTCAGTCAAAACATCAAGTTGCAAACATTGAAGACAAGTCTATATGAATTTCCTGAAAGCGATTTTTATTCAAATTTGGGAGATTCGCTGGAGGAAAAAATTTCATGGGATGAATTAATAGCGATTATTAAATCTTTCAAAGGGTTAACTCCTGGTCCTTATGGGATAACGTATAAATTGATAGAAGA